TTTGCTTCAAAATAAGCATGTAACTGCTGCCTTTAGTAACTTTAAAAAGATGTTAATAACAGAAAAGAGTTAACGTTAAAAAGCTATTCCACAGAAAATGACACAGAATACAAATAACAGCTTTTACTTTGTAATGTAAATATAAACTAGAATAATCTTGATTGCAAAGAGGCAAAATCATATGCCTTCATAGAAGAAAATTGTTTGGTTAAAAATAGCAAAATTGCTTTTCTCTCACACTTTCCTAAAGAAATTTTTTTCTTTCTTTTCTTTCTTTTTTTTTTTTTTTTTTATGTGTTTTTCTCCAAGTATTTGGACTTCAAAGTAAAGAACTTTACTTTGTTTTCTCTTTGAATAGAAACAAGTAAAGCAAACGTCACTTAATCATGTCATCTCAACTGTATCAGTCATTGACTTGGTGCTAAATCCTTGCTTCATAACAGTTTTGCAGCTTTTTTACACTTCCTCTTAAGGAAGTGTACTTCTTTCCAAATCATAGAATGAAATATATCATTTTAATATATTTACCTTTTCTAAGAATACATCCTCATTCCATTAAGAAAAGAAACATTTGGCAATTTGCTAGTCACAAAAAGGTAATGTCTTCCTATCGATTTTATCATGCTCTCTTATGATATGACGTACATCCACAAACCATGCATTTTCTCCTACAAATCCTGAGAAATAAGCATTTTCTCTGGATTGAAAAAATGAATAGATAGTACTGAAGACAAATCTTCATAGCAGAGGAATATTTAGTTATACTGTATGGATTATGAACTCAACCTGGTAGTTGATTCTTACTTTGTTTAGTTGCTTGTTTGTTTAAAATGTCAGTAAGACCTCTAGTCAAGGAATACCTCCTCCTCTGCTTCTTTCTTCTCTTCTGTGTCTCATTCCTGCCCCTTTCCTCCCCAACTTTCTTCTTTATCTTCAATACAATTATTTTCCAAAATCCTCTGTCTGTTGCCCACTACCAGAAACTACATGTTTTCATTGAGAGCACCTGCAATTTCCCTTATATAACAATCCTTTTCTATGTAGTCATTTATTCAGTGTCTGTGTACCCAATTGAAATGCAAATCCATGAGAGAGCATGAAGTGTTCATCATTATGGACTAGGTGTCTGCTGCAGTGCCTAACAGGTAGTAGGTGCTAAATAAATACTAGTTAAGTAAGCTAACAAATTACTTTAACTCATGCCTCTAAGCTTACTCTACTAAATCTTATTAAGTGTAGAACTCTGTACTTTCTGTACCTCCTGTCTTCCAGGAAGCTTTGTCTACATGCATTATAAATAGATTCTTCTGGTTGAATTAGTTCTGAATAACTTGTGTGTTGCTGTAGGATAAGTACTGGACTAGTAACCATAATGTTGGATGTTCAAACTCACCAGCCACTCCTCAGAAACCCTATGCAGGGTCACTATAATTCCGAACTGACTTGACAGCACCTAGCAAGAACAACCACAGACTTAATTCACGTAACTACCCAAAGGGTAAATTTTGTTAACAGAAAGGGAAAGATAGAGATGTAGGTTGCCCCTATGCTAACCCAACCTCTGTACTAGAATCTCCCAAAACAAATCATTGTTCAATTCAATAACTGAACAAATATTTATTGAGCTATTATGCATTTAGCTTTGTAGGTTTGATATCATAGTGTGTAAAGACCCCATTCCTCCTGGAATTTGTAATCTAACTGAAAAGATTATAAAAAGGAATTTCAATGAACATAAAAGCTATGGTGGGAATAGAATAAGGGTCTATGGGAACATATATCTGGGAACATACTCAACCAAATCTACAGCCAGAATAGCTTTTGAAATCCGATTATGCTCATGAAAGAAGAGTGAGTAGGAATTGACCAAGAGAGAGAAAGCATGGCTCATTTGAGGAATTGGATGAAACAGCATGGTTAGAAAACAAAAAGAGCTGAATCTATAGACGTATGCTAGAGCAATTTATAGAGCGCCTTAGTAACAATGTCACGGACATTTGACTTTTACTGAGGCAAAATCAGATCTCTGTGACTGACTGATACAAATATGATTTGGAGGCAGGAATCATCCGTGGCCAAAACAGAGTTGCAACACAGGTCCTGACTGTCTTTATTTCCATATAGCAAATCTTGTTTGTTTTTTCTCTTGCTTTTGCTCTTAGCCTTATTGGATGGTTGTCACAAGAATATGTAATTTGACATTATCATTTTATAGACATGAAATTAAGGTCAAGCAAGACAATACTTTTTCTAGGATTCAGAAAAGAGCTAGGTCTAGTTGGTTCTTTTGTTAGTGAAAACAGTATTTCAGAAAACTAGGAATAACATAGGCTTAGGAACCAAATAAATCAGAGTCGGGATGTCAAATTCTCTGTGTATAGTCTGTGTATCCAAACCCACCAGCTGCTCCTCAGAAACCCTATATAGGGTTGCTATTAGTGGAACAACACTTGACAACAACAACATTGTCTTCAGAGGTGGATACTATTAGTATCTCTAGTTTAAGTGATTATATTACTCCCCTAAGGCCACACAGATTATACACAGGGAACTTGACACTCCAACTCGGGTTTCTTTGGTTCCAAAGTATCTAATTTATCCTACAGCACCATAGCAGGACTCCTCTGAAGACTATTGTGAAGGTAAATTTGATCATTAATTTGAAACGCATAGGGTTGTGCTAGTCACATAGTTTACTGTTAAATAAATACTAGCATTAGTCGATGGTGATGAGGATGATGTTTCCATAATTACTCCAACTCCTTCATTCATACTTATATGCCCTATATAATAGTACTTAACATCATGTACTCTTAATTTCAAATGACTTTTATACTATATATTTTATTCTCCACTGAGGAGTGTTTGGGATTCCTAGTCCAAACATTTAATAAACATTTCTGTGAGACTATATATTTATCAAGGTGCCGCAAACTTAATATTCTCCTATCCAATTAAAATTCTAATAGACACAAAGCTCATAAACATGTAATAACAAGAGGTCAAAAGAAGATATATTATGAAAATAAATGGTTTAGTAAATAATTTGTTTAATCAAATAGTACAATTTTCTATAAATAATATGATTTTCAAAAAGTACTCAATTATATAATCTTCTCTTCCATCTGAACTTTGGATATATGGTCTTGATGAATTACCAGCTACCTGACTACTGTGAAAATATATACCCAGGTTTAAAATTCTCCTGCTATATTATGTAAAATACAGCAGTTACTAAGTAAAAAATGTCTGCTTTTTAAATGACATCTTTTTATCTTCAAAAGCTGATGTTGTTTTCTATAATAGCCATACCTTACAATTTGTTATTCAATAAATTTCAATGAAAAAAATGTGACATTTTGGAACACAACATTAATTTCCATGATATCAGAACTACTTTGAAGATAACAAAATTCAGTGAAAAGTAATAAAGAACCCGTCAGTACAAAATTTATTGAATAAGACGCAATGATTTAACTTGTGTGTGCACAGATTATGAGCTAAACTAAACATTGTAATGGATCGCCTGAAAATATCTTGATTAAATGATAGCAACTAACACTTAATTCCAAGGTTTAATAGATTTCTCTTATTGAAAATTGAACATAAATGATTTTTGTTTTTATTTACATTTAGATTTCTGTAAAAGCCTCTAAATGTTTTAGCTGCTTTCTTGCTGACTCAGTATCTAAGCATTTAAGACTCAGATATTCTCTAGTAGGTATATCATTTTTATGAGAATATTATTACTCTGGATATAAATTTGCACATACTGTATACTTGATTCTCAGAAAAACAGCTACTGCTGTGGCTTAAAGAATTTAGGTTTAATGAATTATTATTGTCGAGAATTAAGTGGCTTACTTTTTGGTTATATATGTTCTTTGACTTCAATTATCTTTCTATAATCAATGAGATAAGTGGATATTGTTTATGTATAAGAATCAAAATTTAAAAGAATCAAGCTTACTCAAGTTAAGGGATGCTAAAGGGACTGATTGGTTTAATCCATTTTTAAAAAAAATACTGGTAATTGAATGAGTTATTGCAGTGGGGTATAACATAGGAAGGAAGGAAGAAATGGAAACCTGGATGCCTGAATTCTCCTCCTAACCCTGGATGAGTTTGAACAGTTCTTTAACTTCTCTAGAAATCAGCTTCCTTACATCTCTTATTTATTAAGTGATTGCCATTCCATGCAATAATAGTTTATTCTGATTAGGTCTTTAAAGACTAAATGAAAAATATTTAACATTTATATAATAAATAAAATGAAATTCATTAATCAATTAATTGAACTAATATATGTTAATGACTCTGGAAAGATTTTGCAAAACCTGTAGGTCGCACAATTGCAAGATATGGATTTGTCGATAAAAAATAACATTTTGTTAACATTTTAACTAGTATTTTCTTCAAAGGAAAGAAGCTTTTAAATAACATTTATTTAATTATTGCCAGTCAAAACATCTAAGTATCTACTGTGTATACCCTCACATTGTGGGGCTTTATAACCTTAAGGTGAGACCTAAGCTCTATATTATAAAAAGTATTCTTAAAATGAAATGCACAAGTATAATTTCACACACAAATACACACACAAAAAAAATCATGTAAAGCCTGGTCTGATGGTCAAAATGTTTAAGAGGTATTAAAATGAGCAATTATATAAAATAAAATCCTTTAGTCTAGCTGCTGGTTTAATTTTGCATACTGATTTTTTAAAATGTGGGGTACTAATTGCTCATCTCTTTTATTGGTATTTTTGCAACAAAGAAGAAAAGGTTATGTTATGGGCTATGACCTCAACTCTTCAGCCTTTAGGTTAAGCTCATTTATTTCCGGTTTGCTTCCTGTATACCAGAGACTGAAATATAAAAGTTTAAATATGGTGTTTTATGGTATTCATTACCATATTTTCAAGCATGTAGTAAGTTGTAACATAAGTTAGGTAGCCAATTGTTATCCATTGAAATCTTAACGTGGCATCTGTGTTTCAGCTTCTGACATGGCTGCAGAGCAGGGGCAGATTCTTGTAATAGCTACCGCGGCTGTTGGAGGATTCACTCTCCTCGTCATCCTCACTTTGTTCTTCTTAATCACTGGGAGGTAATTGAAGCATACTAGAATATTTTCAAATTTTTTTAATAATCACAATTCTTATACACTGTGTATTTATTTTTCTGAAAGATAAGCAGTTGAACCAAGTGTTCCACAGAAGGAAGATATGTCATTCTGTATCCACAAAGATTTATAACCTAGGAAACCATTTGGAACAGTTCTAATCTGTACTATGAGCCACTATAAGTAAGAATCAAGTTGATGACAATCTGAGGTTTCTTTCTTTATTATAATCAAATTGCATCATGAAAATAAGTTTTTTTTTTTGTAAAAAGTATTTCTCTTGGAAAAATAACATAAGAGATTTGGACTATAGTGGATTTTAATGGCCACCCTTGTGGTTCGCAGTTCAGTGATGATCCTACAGTGCTATACCAGGAGTCCGATCAATGAGATTAATAGATATTATTTCTGTGTAGTAATTAAAATTGTTGTTGTTAAGTGCCGTGGAGTCAGTTCTGATTCATAGTGACCCAGCATTGGGTTTCCAAGGTGTAGCTGGTGGGTTTGAATCATCAACCTTGCAGTTAGTAGAATGAGATTCATTCCAAACTGTGTCTTTAAGAGTTTGTAGTTAAATAAGAATAGATACATGAGATCCTCATTCAGTTTTGCTTTCATGCAAGCCAGAATTGTTGGACTGATAAACAAAAAGTCAACAGTTTGAACTGACCAGTCACTCCTAGGAAAAAAGATGGGGCTATCTGCTCCCGTAAAGATTTACAGTTCTACTCTGCCCTAGAAAGCCCCTATGAATTGGATTTGATTTGATGATTGTGGGTTTGACCCAGACAAGAAGTGAGCTCTGGTGATGCAGTGGTTAAAGCATTCAGTTGCTGACCAAAGTCTCCATTTTGGGAGACAGATATGGCAGTCTGCTTCAGAATCTACTTGGCATCAGTGGGTTTGATTTTACTTGCTTAGTGCAAGAAAAGGCTTGAAGCCTTTTCAGTGATTTAAAAGCTGCACGTGCAGCAAGTGAATGTGATTGTGATGAAGGATTTGTTGTGATTAGGGATTGGTTCTTTTCAAAGTGAAGGCAAATTTACATAACATTAAAAGGCAAGTATAAGTTGTCTGTAAATCAGACTTTCATAACTGGAGACTTCCTGTAACAAGAAAAAAAATTCACCTGAAAGAATGCAGGAAGTAATCCTAAATGTATTCTAATAAATGTACCACTGTGGGCATCCTATGTTGCCTCTATAGAACGCTGCTGATCAGCACTTTTCCAGTTATTCTGACCCTTTTCTCATAGAGTTAACCTCTTAAAACTCCCTACTATCAAACTAACTTTGATACAACCATTTTTACAGGAGATAGAGCACAAATTTTGGTGTCTCAAAACAAACTAATCATTAGGTCTTAGTTGTTTTTGTTGTTGTATTAAGTACCATTGACTAGATTCTGACCCATAGCGACCCTGTATAGGGTTTTGAAGGAGCAACTGGTGCTCTTGAACCACCGACCTTGCAGTTCAAACTACTTTGCAGTCTGACACATTAGCACATAGCACCACAGTCTTTAGGTGCTGTCAACTTGGTTCTGACTCATAGAAATCCTATATACAACAACATGAAATAGTGCCCAGTAGTTCTGCTGCTCTTAGCAGGGTTTTCATTGGTCAATTTTTTTTTTTTTTTTTCCCCAGTAGATCTCCAAGTCTTTCTTCCTTATCTGTCTTAGGCTAGAAAGCAAAATATTAAATCTTTGTTGTTGTTGTTGTTAAGTGCTGTCAAGTTGGTTCTGACTCATAGCTACCCTGTATAGGGTTTCTGAGGAGCAACTGGTGAATTTGAACCACCAACCTTGACTACAAATATCAGAAATGACCTTATTCACTGGCAGGAGTCAACAGGTTATCAACAAACAAATACTGATCCTACACATCTTGGCATAGTTCTAAGGTTAGTTACTAAGCAAAGTTAATTTTCTTATGATTTTATCTAGGACTTTAACAACAAAAAAGAGGAATTAGAGAACAAAATTGTCTAGGAAAGCAAAAATAACAGACTATTAAAGTGAGAAGGAAAAGGTGCCATTCTTTAAACTGGAGAAAAAGGAAAAGGGAAAAGCATTTTGTTGCATATAAAGTCACTGGTATTTCACTAGATAAGAAAGAAGTCAAACTGCAAACACATTATGTGTTGCTACATGCTATGAAATTCATACTAGTGGAAGAATATACCCTACTGTATTTTTATTTCCGTTTGTAACGTAAGTACTGCCCAGGCATAGTGACTTTTGGAGTCTTGAAATCTTGATAGTACTTATTATGGACTTCCACACAATTTAAAGATGATCAGCTTTACAGCCTGGGAAGATTATTCAGTTATTAAGTACAATGAGGTCCCAAAAGGACGTCTCAATTACTGAGACAAAAATCGTATCATTTTAACTAGACTAGGATAATTTAGATATGATGGTTAAATTTGACTCAGAAAGATTCTTATTTGCATTTTGAAAACTCCTTTGGAAAAATCTGGTGTTTATTAAGTATGATTTTATTTAAATAGCAGTGTAGTATTTAACCCTGGTAGGAAAAAAAAAAAAATCTCTATTATCATAGGACAGTTGCTTGTAAATATATTTTTAATCGTGATTCAATATAAAACATAATTGAATGGTATTTTTTAGTGATATTTATATGTATCTTGTGTGGCACTGTAGGGTAAGCACTGGACTTCCAAATACAAAGTTGTTGTTATTAAGTGCCATTGAGTCAATTCCGACCCATAGCAACCCTGTGTAGGTTAGCAGGTTAGCTTGAACCACCAACCTTGCAGTTCAAACAACTTTGCAGTCTGATACATTAGCCCACATAGCAAAGTAGGTAGTTGAAAATAGGGTTGCTCTGACTCGAAATCAACTCGATGGCTCATAACAACAATTACAGTATATGTATCTTGCAGAACATGAATTAAGGTCTGGTTTTCTCATAGACTGTTTCAGCAAACCATGATTAATAGCACATACGTGTGGGAAAGCATTTCAGAAAAATTGTATCAGAAAAACTGTCTTCACACAAAAATATGACAATTAGCTATGGAACCATTAATTCCATTATAGTTCTTGCTAGAAAAATAAGTTGGCCAAATAAATTTAAGAGATGAGTTTACTTGGTATTCTTAGAGCCTAATTTTAATACCACTTTAAAAAATAGTCTAATGATGAAGAAACAGTTGTGCTAAATTCTTTTCAGGGTTCATTTTCTGTTTGCCAGTTTATATGGCATCAAACACTGCTCTAACATTCTACATACTGGAGAGAACAATTCCAGTTACATAAGATTTTTTTTTTAATTGTTTTGAAGTATCTCTGATACACTTTGGTAAGGGAACATTCATTGAAAATTATTCATTGAAAACTGTAAGACATTTATGAATAAATACACAATTTGATATAGGATTTTCACCTTAATGATTGAATTGTGTTAAACAGATGTATTCTGTTTAACTATTTGGAATTAACATTTTGATGATCTATGAAATCATGAGGCTGGTGATGAATGTAGCTTGTTGAAAAAGCCTGTGAGATAAGTACCTGCTTCTGTAGTTTGCAGCAGGATTTTCCCCTGACCAAATAGAACATGCTTCTACCAAATTCCAGAGTTAAAAAAAAAAAAAAAAAATGTTGATTACCCCTGAAGATGGAAGACAGTTGTCTATAGCTCTGAGATTCTGATGAAAAGCATTGTTTTTAATTTTAACTAGTAAATCTTTTCCACCAACTATCACTGTAAGAAGTAATACACAAAAGTAAATGATGGCTATTGCTAATTATAGATCCCTGGTGTGGCACTATAGAATAAGTACAGGACTACTAACCACATGGTCGGCAGTTCAAACCCACTGGGTGCGCCTCAGAAACCCTAGATAGGGTCACTCTGAGTCAGAACTGACTTGATAGCTCTTAACAACAACATTGCTAATTATAAGATGTTTCTCTAAGATCCCTAATTAAATCAGTCAGTCCACTTGACAGTATATTTTACTTCTCTATGGGGCAAATTTTCATATATATTTAGTATTTTCAAGGATTTTTTTATATGTTTGCATAACATAAAGATGTTTTTTAAAGTTGCCTTTGCGATAGGAACTTTGGCCATGAATGATACATATCAATATTACTCATATTTTAATTGGTTTGTGTTGTTACCTGCCATAATTTTTAACATGAGATTCTGTTTACTTTTTTACAAGGTGCCAGTGGTACATAAAGGCCAAAATGAAGTCTGAAGAGAAGAGAAGAAACCACCTACAGAATGGGCACTGTAAGTATTTAAGTGACTCTTTCTACTGCTTTGAATTACTCTGGCACCTCAAGAGTTCATTTTAAACTTGCACCCATTGAGTTGAGAAGGCCCAAATGAAACAACAACAAATCACACTTTCAAACGTTCAGCATTAAGGTTTTGCTTGTTTCCAGGTTTGTAGTAGAAATCACACCTGCTTCTCATTTCCCAATTCTAGTTGCTGGAAGCACGACAGACTAACTGCTAAAAATACAAGTTGGCTGTTATATCTAGTTATTTACCATTCACAATGGCTCTATAACTTAAGCCAGTTTTATTTAGTGGAGCATTAGCCACAGAAATATTAAGAAGTCCTTATTCCTTCTTGCAAGAGCTGTCATTTAAACATAAAACAAATCAATTTACAATTCATTAACCCTAAAAAAAACATATCAGCTCCTTAACTCTTGGAATATGTATGAAATCCTTGAGATGACTACAAGGTTATATTCATTTGAAGGATCTCTTCCCAAGCAAGCTATAATTACCACTATAGTTGGTTTGATAATTGCCACACTCTCCTCCCCAACGCCCACCTCCACCTCCACATTGCAGACTACTTTGTCAAGACTGTTCCTGTGTGGTAAGACAGTGAATTAACAAAAAGTGATGCTCACTTATTAGCTGCAGTATACAGTTAATATAGGAAGTCACTTATTTAACTCCGATTTTATTCCATATTGAGCAAAAAGAAATAAGGGGTTTTTCAATCACTGTCATTTTCCAGGGGAAAGAAAGGACTTAGGTGAAGAAATTACACGCAGTGTTTCGTTCTGCTGTGCATAGGGTCGCTATGAGTCAGTACTGACTCGATGGCACCTAACAGCAAACAACAACCTTGGTTTAGGACTAATCCTAAGGATTACATTGTTGTTGTTGTTATGTGCCATCTATTCAGTTCCAACTCATAGCGACCCTGTATAGGTTTTCTGAGGAGCGGCTGGTGGGTTTGAACCAGTGACCTTTCCTTTAACAATCCAGTACTTATTCTACAGTGCCACATAGTTTCTCAAAAAGAGGTCTGAGAACAATGTGTTTTAGAATATTTGACCTTCAGTCCCCAAGGTTCTGATTCATTAAGCCAAGATATATGCATTTTTAGAAAATTTTATGAAATTATTCTTTTGTACAAAAAAACGTGTGCTAAGGGAAGGAGGGAAGAAGAGATTAGAAAGCTAATGTTTGGCCTGGGAGACCTGGAAACACTGCAAACAGATGCAGAAATTTGGATCCAGACACCTGGACAGATGACTTATGGGAGGCAACTCGAGATTCACTGTGGGATACTGAGTCCTGAGCTGCAACAGAAAAGGTGTTCCTGAAGTATTTACTGTTTCCCAACTAGTAATTTAGCTTAAACGAGGACAGATGGACCCAACAAGAAACAATGAAAATAACCCAAGGTAGAATGGAGAAAGAGACATAAAAGCCTAAGAAGACACTGATGAGTTAAATTAATAACCAGATGTTGTTGTTGTTGTGAGGTCCCATCTAGTTGGTTCCGACCCATAGCGACCCTGTGTAGGGTTTCCAAGGAGCAGCCGGTGAGCTTGATCCACCAACCTTGTGGTTCAAACCAACTATACAATCCAGCGCATTAACCCACAGCACCATACCAGGACTCCTAATAACCTGATACTGTATTCAAATTTAGAACTTAGTTTGAGTTTGTTTTCTCCAATATTACATATTTTGTGTTACACAGAAAAAAGTGATATTAACTAATCAGTCCAGGCTGTTGAAATATGTATTAACTTTAGATAATTCAATGGTTAATTTTAAACCCATGTATGAGTTAATAAATGTTAACAATTGTTAAAACTATGTATGAGTGAAATAATATCTGTTATCTGTACTTGAAGTAATGTTATCAGCTTGACCATATATCCAGTTAGAGACTACTAATCATCTAGAAATAAAGCCTGGGTGGCACAAGCAGTTCAGTGGTTCAAGCTCACTAGTCACTTCTCAGAAACCCTATACACAGTCTCTATGGGTTGGAACCAACTTGAAGGCTCTTAACAGACAACAAACAGAAAGATTGGTAATTTGAACACATCTAGTAGTTTTGTGGAAGAAAGACCCAACAAACTGCCCCATAAAGTCTACAGACAAAAAAAAAAAAAAAAACCCAAACAACACTATAGAGCAGTTCTACTCTATAACATATGGATTCACCAAATGCCTCAGGTATTATTTCACATATAATAAGCACATAACAAGCCTTTGTTGAATATGAATTAATAAAGATGAAAAGAAGAATGCGAAATCTGTGGTACAGTGGATGATACTTAGTTTTGTTGCTCTTCAATTTTAAATGACATTCATTAACCATAACTAAGTGTGTTCTGATCTTCTTAGACATATAGTGAGATACGTAATCTCAAAAACAAAACAAATAAAATGATTTTGAAAAAAGTGATGAAATATCCAATATTATTAGTAGTTTGCATCATGAGTAGTAGTAACATAGTGATACATTGGGAACCAACTCAAGAGCTACTTTCAACAGCAATCATCTATTAATAGCCATTGTTGTAAAGGCAGAATAACTAGGATTTTAGTTTATAATGGATGTTGTTGTTGTTAAGTGCCATAGAGTCAGTTGAGACCCATACCCACCCTATATAGTGCTTCCAAGGAGCAGCTTGTGAGCTTGAACCATTGACCTTGCGATTCAAACAGCTTTGCAGTCTAGTGCATTACCTCACAGCACCACACCGTAGTACTCGGTCTGAAATCACTTCTAATAAGCTACAAAAATATCACATAAACAATGAAAACAGAGGTACAGACTTTCTTTTCTTTCTTTTTCTTTTTCTTTTTTTTTCATGCCTAATGTTTGGAAAGTCAAGAACAGCAAAAACATTTCTGAATTATTTTAAGATATAAGAATAGTTGAAAATATGCTTGACTGTTGCTATTTTGAGAAATTCTAATCTTCTGGGTCCATGAGAGGACAATAGGTAGAATGTAATACAAACACACACCACTCCTCTGTCAGTTTGTCGTACTGTGATGGCTTATGAGTTGCTGTGATTCTGGAAGCTATGACACCCATATTTTAAATACCAGAAGGGTCACCAATGGTGGACAGATTTCAGATGAGCTTCCAGATGAACACAGACTAAGTAGAAGGAGTGATGAACTACTTCAGAATATTTAGTCACTGAAAACCTTATGAATAGCAGAAAAACACTGTCAGATATAGTACCAGAAAATGAACCCCTCAGGCTGGAAGGCACTCAAAATGAGACTGGGAAGAGCTGCTTCCTCAACATAGAGTTAACCGTGATGATGTGAATGGAGTAAAGCCCATGGAAGTAAAGCCTTCAGGGCCTTCATTTTCTAGTGGGACACAACTCAAAATGAAGAGGAACAGCTGTAAACATCCATTAATAATCAGAACATGAAATACACAAAGTATAAATCTAGGGAAATTGTAAATTGTCAAAAATGAAATGGAACGCATAAACATTGATATTTTAGGCATTAGTAAGCTGAAATGGAATGTTATAGCCATTTTGAATCTGACAACCAAATGGTTTAATGTGCCAGGAATGAAAAACTGAAGAGGAATGAAGTTGGATTCAATGTCAAAAAGAACATATCAAGATCAGTTATGAGGTAGAATGCTGTCTGTGATAGGATAATACTCATGCGCCTACAGGGAAGACCATTTAATACCACTATTATTCAAATTTACACACAAGCCACTAAAGCAAGTGAGGATGAAATTCAAGAATTCTACCAACATCTTCAATCTGAAACTGATCAAACATGTAATCAAAATATATTGATCACTACCGGTGCTTTGAATGCAAAGGTTGGAAACAAAGAGGAAAGATCAGTAGTTGGAAAATATGGTGATAGAAATGATAATGGAGATTGCATGATGGTGGTGTTGGTGGTGGTTATGGGCCGTGGAGTCGAAACAGACTCATAGCGACCCTGTACAGGATTTCTAAGGCTGTAAATCTTTACGGGAGCAGAAAGCCTCATCTTTCTCCAACGGAACAGCTGGTAGTTTCAAACTACTGACCTTAAGGTTCGCAGCCTGATTCGTAACCACTATGCTACCAGAGCTCCTTGGAGATTGCATGATAGAATTCTGCAAAACTAATGATTTGTTCATTTCAAATACTTTCTTCAGACAGCATAAGAGAGGATTATACACATGGACCTCACTAGATGGAATACATAGATATTAAATTGACTACATCTGTGGAAAGAGAAGGTGGAAAAGCTCCATATCATTGGCCAAAACAAGGCCATGGGCAGATTGTGGAACAGACCATCTATTGCTCATATGCAAATCCAGACTGAATTTAAAGAAAATGAAAACAAGTCCACAAAAGCCAAAATATGACCTTAAATATATTCCACCTGAATTTAGAGATCATCTGAAGAACAGATTTGATACATTAAACACTAAAGACCGAAGACGAGAAGAGATATGGGATGACATCAAGAACATTATAAAGGAAGAAAGCAAAAAAGTCATTAAGAAGACAAGAAAGAAAGAAAAGATCCAAATGGATGTTAGAAGAGACACTTAAACTTTCTCACCAGAGTAGACATGCTAAAGCAAATAGAAGAAATACAGGAGCTGAACAGAAAATTTCAAAGGTCAGCTTGAGAAGATAAAACCAAATATGACAACAAAATGTGCAAAGATCTGGAATCAGAAAACCAGAAAGGAAGAACATGCTCAGCATTTCTCAAACTGGGGGAACTGAAGAAAAAATCCAAGCCTCAACTTTCGTTACTGAAAGATTCTCTGGGCAAATTATTGAATGATTCAGAAAGCATCAAAAGAAGATGGAAGGAATACAGAGTCACTGTACCAAAAGGAAATGGTTGATTCTCAACCATTTCAAGAGATAGCATGTGATCAAGAGTCAATGATACTGAAGGAGGAAGTCCAAGGATCATTTAAGAAATTGGCAAAGGATAAGGCACCAGAAACTGATGGAATAAAATTTGAAATCTTTCATGAAAGTGAAGTAGCACTGGAGGCGCTCATTCATTTATGTGAAGAAATTTGAAAGACAGCTATCTGGTCAGCTGATTGGAAGAGATCTGTATTTGTGCCTATTCCAAAGACTGGAGACCCAATGGAATGTAGAAATCATCGGACAATATGTTTGATAACCCATGCAAGTAAAGTTTTACTCAAGGTAGTACAAAAACAGCTGCAAGCATACATTGACAGAGAACTTCCAGAGATTCAGCTGGATTCAGAAGAGGACGTGGAATGTGGGATATCGTTCCTGATGTCCCATGGATCTTGGATGAAAGCAGAGAATACCAGAAAGATGTTTACCTGTGCTTTATCAACTATGCAAAGACTTTTGATTGTGTGGATTATGAAAAGCTATGGACAACACTGTGAAGTATGAGTATTCTGGAACACTTAGTTGTGTTCGTGAGGAATCTGTACATGAACCAAGAGGCAGTTGTTTGAACAAAACATGGGAACACTGAATGGTTTAAAATTATGAAAGGTGTGCAACTGGCATGTATACATTCACCATACTTATTCAACCTGTATGCTGAGCAAATAATCCGAGAAGCTGGGTTATATGAAAAAAAAAAAAAGAACTTGGCATCAGGATTAGAGGAAGACTCATTAATAATATGTGATATGTGGATGATACAACCTTGCTTGCTGAAAGTGACAAAGACTTAAAATACTTACTGATGAAGATCGAAGAACACAGGCTTTGGTATGAATTACATCTCAATGAAAGAAAACAAAAATCCTCACTACTGGACCAAGAAACAACATTCTTATCAAAGGAGAAAAGATTGAAGTTGTTAAGGGCTTCATTCTTCTTGGATCAACTATCAACACTCATGGAAGCAGCAGTCAAGAAATCAAACGACGTATTGCATTAGGCGACTCTGCTAC